AGATAAAACGGCACTGGACATATAAAGCATACAAGTGGGTGCAAGTTTCCTGAGTATTCATGTATTCCTGTAAAAGCATCACTTTTTTCCTCCTGGAATCACCAAGACTGGAGGTACAGCGAGGTGGGTGTTAAGCCTTCCTTCAAGTCTTAGAAGGTTCAATCTCATTCTCTTTGTATGCTCAACACCACCCAGGCAGCATTATTTAGTCTCAGCTTTCTTCTCTGTATTGGAGATTGCTTAATGGGAAAAAGAAGTTAATTGGGCTTGATGCTACTTATTACACTTTATTTATGTTAGTAAAGAAAGGACAAAGTATTTGAAAGGATAAATGAGAGTTCGTAAGTATGTTCACCACGTTCAGATTTTCACAGAAATTAGGCATAGGTACAGGACTGTTCTGGAATTAAAGGTATGATAACAGTCCCCTTAAAGCACAAGTTGATAACCTCTTCCATAAGGAAAGTGTCTTTAAAAACATTACTGTGCCTATTCATCTTTTTTTCAGTCGAGGTGATACTTTGTGCATCTACATGATTTCAAAAATCACATGCAACCTACTTGCAGTCCTACTCTAAGTCTAAAAAAAATTACTACTCACTTTTTTTTTCAGATGCATACACAGTATTTGTTTTGAACATTTAGTTGTCACTTCAAAACTCTGTGGTAAGCATTAGACTGGAGTTCATCATTTTGGCAAATCTTTCATTATCAGGAATTAAATATCTTTAGCCTTAGTGCTTGTCCCTTGTTGCAGAGATAAGCTAGTATAGCTCTGTTACGGTGAGAAAGTAGCTAGTGTGTAGTGATAATTTTCTTAGTTTTGAATGTGTGGTGGTTTGAATATTTTTTTTCATACCTGCAACTTATTTGTGTACAGCTATTTCAGGTACTGTGCTTAGCTTATTCTACCTGACCAGCTTTATGGATCTGCACATAAAGATACAGAGAAACAATCTGTGAAGTATATCTGCTTGATGTTGCTGCATTTAGGGTGTTGCTGCCCCTGGGACTTTTAACTGTAGTTTAGGTTAGCAGAGAGTGCAAAAATCAAGAGAATTAAAAAAGAATTAAGAACATTATTATAGTAGAAAACTTAGAAATAATGAATGTCTGTGAGATAAGTTTTAAGGGCGATTTGGATTTTTAGCTAGTGCATATGCTTTATGTTGTATGAAATCATTTAAATCAGCTTTTACAGAATGCACTAATGTTGTTTTCTTCTTTTTGAATAAATTAAATTTATCTGCACAGATGTTGAAAACTCTGCTCAACCTCCATCAAAGCTTTGCTTTATTTGTTTTTACATCAACCAAATTTATGTGAGGACACATAGATAAATCAGGTTAGCCTTGTATTTGTTTATTTATTCCTCTACCTAATGCTGCGACATAGCAGGTTGGAAAGCAGAACAGCTGTCTTTAATCAAAATTTTGACCTAATCTTTATATATATTGCCCACTTTAGGAACCTGTGTATTAGGATGAAGCTGAAATAAACCACAAAAAAATTACTGTTCTCATTTAATCACATACAACCAAGCAAACTCTGCCACCACAAAATTTATACTGTATTGCTATTTTAAATGCTGAAAACAAGGTTAAAAAAAAAAAATAAAAACTTCATTATCTCTACCTGTATAATGTCCTTTGTCTATTTCCTGCTTAAAGTTGATGTTTATTTACATCTGATAATATTAAAGAAGAATACTGTTCCTTTGTGGATTGTGGGTTCTTTTTGTTCTGTTTGTTAAATGTTGCTGTAGTCATTAGAACTCTACCATTAAAGCCAAATCCAGTTTTATGGAGTATTCTGTGGAGTGTGCTAATGAATTATGCCATGCCAGAAAACAGGAGCGTGCATAAAACTAAATGATGTTCTCACTAGCATATATAGGCTTGCCAAGCATCTGCTCTTACAAATGCTGTCACAGGGCCTGTTCAGAGCTTTGGAGATTGGTACAAATTGTGTTGAACTAAAATTCCCTCACATCAGCGTAACACTATAATTGTTGCAGGGCACATTGAGCAGTCCAAACTAGAAATAAAACACTTTTAGCATTTCTCTATTCTGGGAGATCATTATTAACATGAGTTTAACAATACTTCCTAAAGCCAGATCTGAGCTGCACAAAACTTCTGCTCCTAAGCTGAAAAAAAGGAAGCATTCCTGTGCTTACCTCACTACTTTTTTTTAAATCAAAATAATAGTATAGATAGCACAGAAATAATTTCTAGCCTGTTTTGTTGTATTTGCTCATTCAAAAAAACTGTTTTCTAGTATTTGCTTTCAGGTTTTTTTCCAACACATCTTAAATTTACTCTACCATCCATGCTGTTAGAGAAGACTACTCATGGCCCTTACCATTTCCCTTCTTGCCATTTTCATTTTCTACCTTATTTAACAGTGTCTCATTTACTCATTTCATTCAGTGTCCTTCCATTTACCCTCATTCCCCTTTTGAAGAGTGTATGGTTTCTACATCTGAGGAGTGCTGTTTCCAGTTCTGTATACACTCTCATCCACCATCTTGAGCAATTTTGGGTTGGTTCTAACTTAAATAGCAGCTTTAGATACCTGACAGAGCATCTCAGATTTCCTTCTATTGTACTGTTGTAATGCAGCAGTGCAGTGCTGTTCTTCATTCTCTTGAAAGGAGGATCTATGGAAGTGAAAGGTTTAGCTTCCTTTCTCTACCAAACTCTCCTTGGCTTAGAAGGGAAAATATGGCCAGCTCCCTGTTTCCAAGTCACGGTTGCTCCGACAAAAGCTTGTACGTCATATAGGTTATCGTTTACCAGAGCTGCTTATAACTACTCCAGAGTCAAGAAAAAAAAAAAAGAAAGAATTGAACTCAATTCTCCCTTTTACTTCAGCTAAAGTAGTCTAACTTGCTTCTACTGGGATCTTCTGAATGCTGAGTGAGAATGGGTCACAAACCCATTACAGACACACACTTGTTATTTCAGAGATAAGGTTATCTATGTTAAGACCTATGCTGCTCAGGTATTACTGTAATATTACAAAATTAAAGAGCTGGCTCCCTGCAAAAACTAACAAAAAAATTACACCTATTGTGTTATTCTAAATCACAGAGGGCCAGTTGTTTCAGGCTTACAGGTTATTCAGAAATAACTGTTTTATTACATTGACAAAAGAAGAAACCTCAAGGGCTTGCTCTTTACAGTTGTGTGATAGGAACTTAAAGTGTGCCTGCTGAAAAATGAGCTAGCTAACAATGGAAGCTTGGCAGCAACCTCACCATTTATAGAGAAACCGTCTATCTAGTACGATCTGTATAAAATAGACCTTGCTTAGGTTAGTGAAAGGTCAAAACTAAGACAAAGTTTGGATAGTCTAAATGCGTTACTCAAAACTAACTCTCCTGTGTATAGTAAATATTATTTGAAGCTGTATTATTAAGAACATGCCAGGATTCAAAAGATTAAATAAGGAAGATGTAATTATGAGCTAAATAATAAACAGAGCAGTTTTAGTCCCCCTTGTGTTTTTCACTTTCCTGCTATTGTTTCATATGTGGCTGTTATACAAAGAGTAGCTTAGGTCAGCTACTATAAATTATGGTTTTTGTACAATAGTAATCTACTAAAATTATTTCAAAGCTGGATCAAAGAGCTTCAAAAGACTTTGTGAAAACTTTTCCACATAATAAAAAGACTTCATTTGGATATCCTATTTTTATCACGATCCCGTTCTTGATTTAGAGTGTATCTTACAGTACTCAGTTAACTGTGTTGATATTATGCTATTGGAACACAAGATCTGCATAATTTATTTGCAGCCTAAAATAAAATGTGGAATGGTAATATCAAATAACCTCTTTTTAAATGCATTACCTGGTATGTTTTTCAGGTCAACTTAAACAAAAACAAAAAACAAACAAACAAAAAAAAAACCACAAAAACACACATAGCCTAAGTGAAAAGATTTTCAATAATAAATTGAAAAACAAGACTTCAAGTGAAATTTTACCTTTCTTCCTTTCACAATATTAAAATCATGCTCACAGTTATAGCAATTATTTGCAATAATAGCAATAGTTCTGCTCAGCAGCTTTTAGCTGACATCACATCCTCTAAGGTATTAGGCTCTCCTCCTGGACTTTCTCTCTCACTCCTGGCTTTCACCAAATGTGAACAATCACACATCATCTGCACAGATCCATAGATGTGGCTTTGTGATGTCAAAACAAAATGAAATGTCAATGCAAGTGCATGGAGACAAAGTAACAATATTGAAACCGTGTCAGCACACATCTAGGGAGACCATGTTACTCTGTCAGGGTGATTTTAGGAGGATCACTTTGAAATGTTAAAATGAAATGAAACTAAGTCAATTAGGTAATAACAATTGAGGTTCAGGGATTAATTGAGGGCCTAGGGTGAAGCCAGTGACCATTAACCCCAGCTGGTTATTAATTCTTGAAGAAATATCCTTTGCTAAGGTTGTTCTTATTTCAAGGAGGAGGGTTTTTTTTTTTTCCTATATTGTGTAAATACTTTCCAACATTGTCTCTAACAACGATATCACATAGGGCATTATAAGGCATATTAGTGCTAACTTAAGTTTTTATAGACAGTAAATGCACCTAGCACCAGCAAATATTTTTTTCTAAATAGGTATAATGACATTTTAAAAATCTGACTTGATGTCCTGAACCATGTTTACCTCTAAGAACTTTCTAATTTAAGTAATGTAAGCAAGGAGATGCATTCTCACATTCTCACAGCATACGTCATGCGCATTGCACAAGTACTCATCATAAAGCAGGCATGTGAAGCAAACAAGAATTACAGGACTTTATCCAACAGTAATGGCATTAAGTAATTATTTCTTTAGAAATGCAAAACTATCAGCAAGTCGGGGTTACAAATTTTCTACAAGTTCAGGCTTCCAAACTGTATGAATGCAGCATAAAGACATAGATATGACTTACGATACATAACATTCATTCAATAGTATCAATGAGCAATTCTTACCTGGATCAATGTTTGTTTGATCCATTGGGCTATACAACATAATGTCTGCAAAGTCTCCCTGAGTCCCTGCCCTAAGGAGAAACGACATTGAAATAAAATTGTTTTCTATATTTATTGATTTATTTATAAGCATATTTACTACATCTAATAATTATTACTACTAATAAAAATCAGCTACCCTTTCTTCTACAGAAGTCATAATTATTTGCTTGCTGTTTATAAGCTATCTTGGTAGAGGTCTTCAGCAAAGGGCAACAATTGTGCACATATCCCTATCTAACACAGTGGTATTCCGTGTTTAAGTGGTGAGGTGTGTACAGAGACAGTTCTGTGAATTGACAAGTAACAGTGACATCAACAGGCATGGCAGGGACAAGTGGATGAACCTGAGAAGCCTGCAAAGGGCCCTGCATAGAGCCAGGTTTTAGAGCTTGAACTGTTCTTTTGTGGGCTCTATCTTCTGTGTGAAGCTAGAAGTGCTTCAGAGGTGTTACAGGCATTTCTAAAAGCACTTTGAAATTTTCAGCAGAAGACTACTGTGGGAATTGCACGATTTGTTGTTACCAGAGAACAAAAATTATATAGAAATAGCCCCCCCCCCCACTCCCCCCAAAAAAAATCCTTTTAGCTTTTCCATAACAGGCATTCACATAACACTCTCTATTTTGTACTCTCCCTCAGCAAGATAACTGCATAACAAGCAGAAAAAAATAAGAATGAGTCTAATCAGTTTGTTTCCATATGCACTTTAAGAATCTTCAGTGTATTTGGCATTGCGTTACATAGAAATGAATAAACACTTTTAGGAAAAAAAGATGGTCTGGCTATACATCTTGAAAATAAGGTGCAGATGGATCTGCATCTTATCCTTCCTGACACATGTCTAGATATACAGATCAGCCTAAAGATCTGTCCAACTTATTCTTTAAATCCAGTGATAGAGATGTTTAGAAAAATTAATAATTCACCCTTACTTGGTTAGAATAAAAAAATCTATTGTCTGAACTTTTTTGCTATACAATAAGCCTGTTAGATCTCATCCAATTCTAAATGAATAGAGACTCTGGCACCTGCCTTTTTTTTCTGACCTTCACTACATTTGAATATTTTTCTTTCAGCTCAAGCTCTTCCAATATTTTTGTGAAAAGATTTGAGATTTATAATCACAGTTGATCTTCTGCAGCAGTTTCTTCCAATTGGTCTGTTACTTTGTTCTGCTTCTAGAAATACAGTGCCTTATTTACAAAATCTCTGCAAATATATTTCCATAATAAGTTGATGGCTTCTATTTAGGCTGGGGTTCTTTATATTGCCTACATGCAGATTATCCTCAAGTCATCATTTCTTCATCCAGTTCTTTTCCTTCTCAAAGACTATTGTTAATACAAGTAATGCTATATTGTAATGGAAGTTCTGCAATAGTAGCAGGGTGGCACAATCCTAGACTGCAGCAAATGAGGGCACAAGCCCAAAAGCAGCAGCTATGGACACAAAAACAAAGGAAGAAAGAACTGCTTACCTTTGGAAGGCCTCAGGTATACAGGGATCTCCAGAGAGACACCCTCACCTCCACTGCCATCCCTAAAATGAGGTCTGGGAAGGAGTGGATCCTGACTCCTTCTGGTCATCACTCAGGTACATTGCATGCACCTGAGCTCCCCTGGGTTGGTCCTGTCTTCCCATCAGGTGCTCAATTACTGTTTTCAGGCCATGACTTAGCATTTCCACTACAATACAGTTTTGGAGTATCTTCATGGAATCCTCAGAGTTGAAAGGGACTTCTAAAGTCATAATGCTAATACCAGATATCAGAGATATGTGAGTTGCAGCCTAGTTTGGGAAATAAACGTTTACTTAAAATATATAAATAGAAAGACATCTGCTAAATAGAGCCCAAAGCAGCAAGTTCTTTCACTTAGGTATGTATTTGCCACAAAGCTCCAGGCTCTGAGTTCCTGTAGTTGGTTTGACTGTTTTCATGAACCTATTACTGCTGAATCAAGTTCTCAGCTGTACTGATGAGCTGATGTCTACCTTGCAAAATGTAGGAGGCTTCCAGTAAAGCAAGTTTTCCTGAGCTTTCTTTTCACCCGGACCTTTCCGTAAGATTTGCAGTAGGAAGCCAAAGAGGTAAAGAATAGTAAGAATGGGTTGTGCTCCAGCAAGCCACAGCCCTGGGAAACTCAGTGTTTTCTGGTTTGACAAGCAAACGTGTCAGAGCAATGTGAGATAGTAAGTGTCACAGACTGGGATTTGTCTCCTATCTACCTAATCCACACTGTCCTAAGACTGAAACAACCCTGTCCATGAACACTTTGCAAAGCAGTTTTTTTGTTCCTTGACCAGAGACAGATACTTACTCAAATAAAGCTAGTAATAACTACAGACAGATTAAAATAAAGTCTCTCAGATTTAAGCAACGGGGGGAGTTTCAATTTTGTCTAAGATGAGGTATATCTTAGACTGCAAGAAATAACACTGAAGAGTCTATTTGGAGGTTTATTTACTCCTTTTAGGCAGTTTTTAGTATGGCATTTGCAGTCTTCCTGTCCCCACTTTACAAGTTGTGCATCTCTCCCCTTCATTGTTAGTCAGGCACACCAATTTATATACTTACATATACATTTATACTCCAATTTATACTTATTTATACATAGCACTCAATTTGTAAGAGCTCCATCAGGAGTGCTCAGCAGACTGCAAGCTGGATTTCTCATCCTTCTTCCTCTCTGCCCCAGATGACGTGAAAGGGGCTACAAGTCTGTTTCTGATTTCTTTCTTATCCTACCCTGCATTGATAGATTAATCTAAGAGAACTGGTGCAGCTCTGCTGGCATCTGCGTTCAGGAAGCCATGCTGATTTATGGTGGCTGAGAATTACCCCCATTATTCTTACATAGGGACTGTACTTCGTTCAGCCTTAAGTCTTCTGCTGAGGTCCTGGCATGTTAACAAGCCACCTTTTCCAAAGTAGGCAAGGTAATTAGGCCCCACCCTACTTTCTCAGGCATCCTCTAAAAGTTACAGTTACTGTTTTAGTAACAGCAATCCTTGTGCCACAGCAAGCGCAGCAGCAAGCACTAGCACAATAAGCAGCAAGTATAAGCTCAACTTCTTGTGCTTAAACAATGAGCTCAGAATTTCTGTGTTCCCCAGTGCTCTGTCACCAATGAAACTGCTTCATGCTCACCCTGTAGCCTTGTTTTACTCAGTATTTTTTCCCCACATATTCAGTCGTAAAATTAGGAGTGAAATATATTTAAGAAAGTACTGTATCATGCATCTTGCTGCTTCCTCATCCTTCCCTACTATACTAGTTCAATCCAATTCTATTTCAGAATCAGCTACCCAACACAGCTCTGCTTGTTTCACACAAGGAAACAGCAGCCTCCCTCTACCCTACACTCACCCTGGCCAAAGTCTTTCTTGCAGTGCAGAGACTGTCCTAAGGAGCTCTTCCACATGCATGGCAGGACTCCCAAGAGCATTCTAGAGTAGCCAACTGTGACACCTCACAATATTCATGTATGCAAGTCATGTTTTTAAATGCTAGCCAGGCAAATATATTGCCAGCGACCCACTAATGGTATTAAAGCAGAATGTTACAACTGGCTTCCTCTGTCTATGCAGCCCTTGCCCAATCAGCTCATAAGTGATGGCTTCCTGTTTTTATAAATAACAACAGCTACACTGCAAAGTGTTTTCTGATTTCTTGGCCTCATATTTCCTCAAAGATATCAAAAATTATTTTCCTGAATTCTTGTGCAAGGTGTGTTTGATGTGAATCAAAATCAAAAAGGAACAAAGGAAAGGGCCCATTAAAGGGATGAAATCTTAGGTTTGAGCCCAAGTCTTGATAGTCCAGAGACAGAAGAACCAAAATATAACTCTTTGGTTTGATAGATTTAATTTAGACTTGTACACCATCTAAATACTTCCCATTTGCTAGTGTGTGAAAAATTGAGATATTTTTAATTAATCATTTCAACATCTAGTTCACTTTCTTTAAAGTGAGAAGTATGTATAGAGAAATTACCATTGACCACAAGATTGGACTATTTTCTTCTGAAATATCCTTGATCCTTGATATCTGCTTAAGTTGTAGAACCAGGTCTTCTCTGCTGTAAATCAGTACTCCTGCAGCAACTTCAACACACATACATATTTGCTGATTTAAAATTACTGAAGTTCTGGTGGCGTAATTTAAAAGCCAGTGCTTGGAGAAGGAACACAGAGCTGGTATAGTCTCTGCCAGAACATCATGAGATACGTATTATAGGGTACTGGCAAGTTTTAGGTATGTCTGAGTGGCACAAAGTGTGCTGTATGGCAGATGAGCACACTGAAGATGTTGAGATTTGTCATGTTATAAAAATTATCTTTGAGCTGATAAAGTTACCTATGTGCCATTGTTTATCTAGTCAGAAATACATATAAACTGTTACTTGAATTAAAGTAAAAAAAATGCTTGCAGCCTTCAGAGACACAACTGATTTGTTCCAGAATTGTTCTCTGACTGATACAGCATGTTTTAAGATTATGTTCATCTTCTAAAACATATTTCTTGAGTCACTGAGCTCATCAGACCAAAAAAGTGCTGAACTGTTTTCAAATAACAGTGCATGCTGATGTCAAGTTGCTTGCAAGACACAGATCCACCATTCTTCCATGTTCCTGGACATATGAAAGCTGAACAAAACGTGTATCGAAGGAGGCTAAAGGTATGGCTGACCTGAACCAAGGAATGAAGGTACATGCAAGAGTCCTTTAATACACTTTTTTTTACTTCTTCCCATATTCCGCTCGTCCTTACAATAAACCAACCAACTTGAAGTTTGTAAGACTAAGGTTAAGGAAAACACAAGGTGGCCAAGACCAACAAAGGCATAGACCTGAAAACATCACCAGAAAGTCCTTTCACAAAACACCTCCAGATTCAGAAGATTCTTATTGATGGCACAGACTTAATGTAACGGAGTTACAAGGATGTAATTAATACCAAAAGCAGTCAGGAAGACTTCCACTTCCAGGCTAATGTGTAAAGTGCGAAGATGAAATCTGAGCTATCAGG